ATCACTACAAACCTTGATATTGCAGCCGGCAGCACTTTTCCTTTGACGTCCTCCCGCAAGACCCATTGGTGTCTACAGAGGATGTCTAAGTCTGCTGCTGTGCCCGTGTACAGTCGCCGATACAAATGCATGGGTGTACGCAGCACCTGTGGCTCCCTGGGTGTAGGAAAGTGCAAGGAATTGAATGCCAAGGACACACAGCAAATGCCAATGTGAATGAAGTCTGAAGAAGAAAAAGCCCACCTCCTCCCTGTGCACACAGAATTCCGGGACTCAGAACATGGTATGGTGGATAGTGCCTGTGCAGTGTGACCTGGGCTGCAAAAAAAACACATGTACAGCGTTCTTCTAAATGAGAGAGGAAAAAGTTATCTGCTGAGCCCCCCACCTTCCTCTCTTCCCTAGACCCATTGACATTCTGAACTCCGGCATTCTTCTGCAGCGGTCAGTATATGTTGTTGCTTTGCCTTTTATGTGTGAATGTCGGGTTGCTGCTAAGTGCAAGTGGAAGTCATCTGCTGCGTTTCTTACTGTATTAGACTGGGGCCTGCGGGCTAAAACCCTCCTGAAACAAAATCTCAGGATCCTTGGCTGGCTGGCAGTGGATGTGCCAGATTGTGTATTATAAAATAGAGACTTGTGCCTCCATTGACTTCCATCCAGCCGTGACCTATGCTGGGTGCTTCCGGGTGTAAAAAGGGAACTCTGCTGGGCACTCCCTGGTGTGAGGGGTGCCCTCTGCTGGGCACTCATGCTCAGTGCTCCTGGTTGTAAAGGGGGCACTTTGTTAGTCGCTTCCAGGTGTAAGGGGGGGGGGGGCGCTCCTGGGTGTAAAGGGGGGGGGGCGCTCCTGAGTGTAAAGGGGGGCACTAATGCCCAGTGCACCTGGCTGTAAAGGGGGCACTCTGCTAGTCGCTCCCAGGTGTAAAGGGGGGGGCACTCATGAGTGTAAAGGGGGCACTTTGCTAGTCGCTCCCAGGTGTAAAGGGGGGGGGGCGCTCCTGGGTGTACAGAGGGGACTCTGCTGGGTGCTCCCTGGTGTGAGGGGTGCCCTTTGCTGGGCGCTCCTGAGTGTAAAGGGGGACACTCATGCTCGGTGCCCCTGGATGTAAAGGGGGGGCACTCTGCTAGTCGCTCCCAGGTGTAAAGAGGGGGTGCTCCTGAGTGTAAAAGGGGGCACTCTTCTAGTCGCTCCCAGATGTAAAGGGGGCACTCATGCTCGGTGCTTCTAGCTGTAAAAGGGGGCACTCTGCTAGTCGTTCCCAGGTGTAAAGGGGGGGGCGCTCCTGGGAGTAAAGAGGGGACTCTGCTGGGCGCTCCCTGGTGTGAGGGGTGCCCTCTGCTGAGCGTTCCTAAGTGTAAAGGGGGCACTCATGCTCGGTGCTTCTGGCTGTAAAGGGGGCACTCTGCTAGTTGCTCCCAGGTGTAAGGGGGGGGGGGGAGGGCGCTCCTGTGTGTAAAGATGGGACTCTGCTGGGTGCTCCCTGGTGTGAGGGGTGCCCTTTTCTGGGCACTCCTGAGTGTTAAGGGGGCACTCATGCTCGGTGCTCCTGGCTGTAAAGGGGGCACTCTGCTAGTCGCTCCCAGATGTAAAGGGGGGGGGGGGCGCTCCTGGGCGTAAATAGGGGACTCTGCTGGGCACTCCCTGGTGTGAGGGGTGCCCTCTGCTGGGCGCTCCTGGCTTTATTGAGGGCACTCTGCTAGTCGCTCCCAGATGTAAAGGGGGGGGGGGGGGCACTCCTGGGTGTAAAGAGGAGACTCTGCTGGGAGCTCCTGGATGTAAAGATGTGCACTTTGCTGGGCGCTCTCAGGTGTACGGGCTGCTTTGGTGCATGCTTCTGGGCGTAAGGGGGGGGGGGGGGAATCTACTGGGTGTTCCCGGGTGTAAAGGGGGGGGGGGGGGGGAGTCTCTAATGGAGTCTTTGATAGACATTCCTGGATGTATAGAGGGGACCTATTCACTTATTTACATTTTTAAATGTTTATTTTGGGCGCACAGATATTTGTGAAATATATGATGTGGCCCTGGTACTGAAAAGTTTGGAGACCCCTGTATGATGATAATGGGTGCAGTGTTATCCACGTCTACTAGATATAGTAAATGGTATGGTGGGGGAGCTTAGACTAGTATCTTCTATGGTGCACTACAAACAAATGTAACATTCTACATCGAATTTACGGTCTTCTACTGTTGTAAGATGTCTGCTAAATGTCAATCGTTGTTATTCTGCACATTGCTACAATGATGGGCTAACTCCCAGAATGATTAAAAAAAAAGCAAAAATAGTAAAGTGGGCCTTTTTATTCTCTTCAGTTTTAAGGTAGAATATCTGATTATTGTAATAATAAGGGCAAAAAGGCAAAGCATCCCAAAAGGAAACTCCTATGTAACTACAGGTTACCAGAGTCATAGCTTACACAACATTGGGGACTCCCCATATCAGAGCTGTAATAGCCCAGCATTGTCATATGGGTGAGTAACCAGACATTACTGTGAATTTCCCTCAGCTCCTGGCACTGAACAGAATGAGAGGGGTGCAAAAAATTATGTATATGAGAAGTTCTGGGGAATTAAGCAAACTTGTTGCTTTGCCTTGAATGGCCAAAGCTCAGGGGTTTTTTTTTTAAGGCAGTGGTCTCCATTAAAACTTAGGCCCCAGTGATAGAGACTATTCTTTCCATTTAATACCAATGATGGGGCACTATTCCTTCCACTGACACCAATAATGGGACACTATTCCTCTCACTGACACCAATGATGGGGCACTATTCCTCCCACTGGCACCAATGATGGGGCACTATTCCTCCCACTGATACCAATGATGGGGCACTATTCCTCCCACTGACACCAATGATGGGGCACTATTTCCTCTCCACTGACACCAATGATGGGGCACTATTCCTCCCACTGGCACCAATGATGGGGCACTATTCCTCCCACTAATACCAATGATGGGGCACTATTCCTCCCACTGGCACCAATCCCACTGACACCAATGATGGGGCACTATTCCTCTCACTACTGACACCAATGATGGGGCACTATTCCTCCACTGATACCAATGATGGATGGGGCACTATTCCTCCCACTGATACCAATGATGGGGCACTATTCCTCCCACTGATACCAATGATGGGGCACTATTCCTCCCACTGGGGCACACCAATGATGGGTCACTATTCCTCCCACTGATACCAATGATGGGGCACTATTCCTCCCACTGATACCAATTGATGGGGTATTATTCCTCCCACTGATACCAATGATGGGCACACTATTTCCTTCACTGACACCAATGATGGGGACACTATTCCTCCCACTGACACCAATGATGGGGCACTATTCCTCCCACTGATACCAATGATGGGGCACTATTCCTCACACTGATACCAATGATGGGGCACTATTCCTTCCACTGTCACCAATGATGGGACACTATTCCTCTCACTGACACCAATGATGGGGCACTATTCCTCCCACTGACACCAATGATGGGGCACTATTCCTCCCACTGACACCAATGATGGGGTACTATTCCTCATACTGATACCAAGAATGGGACACTATTCTTCCCCTGTCACCAAGATAGAAATTATTCTTCTTACTAGTACCAATGATGAGTCATGACTCCTCCTCCTACTGCCCACAGGTGTTATGTAAAATTTTTTTTTTTTTTTACTCCCCCGCTCTGACCACAAAGTTTGAGGCATTTTCTACTCCCACTGGCCACAAAGCGGCCCTCCTAAAGTTCTGAAAGGACAGCAAACTGGCCCTTTGCTTAGAAAGAATTTTGCATGATAAAATGAATATGTGTACAGGCCCAGTGCCAAGTTTAATATTATATACAGTGGGGATCGAAAGTTTGGGCACCCCAGACTAAAAATTTGTATTAGATGATGTGCATAAAGAAGCCAAGGAAAGATTGGGGCTCTAAAAAAAATCTCCAAAAGGCATCAAAAAATTACAGATTAGACATTCTTATAATATGTCAACAAAAGTTAGATTTTATTTCCATCATTTACACTACAAAAAATAACAGAAAAACAATAAAAAAAAATGGTGTCTGCAAAAGTTTGGGCACCCTGCAGAATTTATAGCATGCACTGCCCCCTTTGCCAAGCTGAGACCTGCCAGTGTCATGAATTGTTCTCAATCATCGTCTGGGAAGACCAGGTGATGTCAATCTCAAAGGTTTTAAATTCCCAGACTCATCTGACCTTGCCCCAACAATCAGCACCATGGGTTCTTCTAAGCAGTTTGTCTAGAAAACTGAAACTGAAAATAGTTGACGCTCACAAAGCTGGAGAAGGCTATAAGAAGATAGCAAAGCGTTTTCAGATGTCAGTATCCTCTGTTCGGAATGTAATTAAGAAATGGCAGTCATCAGGAACAGTGGAAGTTAAAGCAACATCTGGAAGACCAAGAAAAATATCAGACAGAACAGCCCGCAGGATTGTGAGAAAAACAATTCAAAACCCACGTTTGACTGCACGATCCCTCCAGAAAGATCTGGCAGACACTGGAGTTGTGGTACACTATTCCACTATAAAGAGATACTTGTACAAATATGGTCTTCATGGAAGAGTCATCAGAAGAAAACCTCTTCTACGTCCTCACCACAAAAAAATCATCGTTTGAACTTTGCAAATGAACATATAGACAAGCCTGATGCATTTTGGAAACAAGTTCTGTGGACCGATGAGGTTAAAATTGAACTTTTTTGGCCGGAATGAACAAAGGTACATTTGGAGAAGAAGGGGCACAGAATTTAATGAAAAGAACCTCTGTCCAACTGTTAAATAAATCTAACTTTTGTTGACAAATTATAAGAATGTCTAATCTGTAATTTGATGCCTTTTGGAGATTTTTCCATCTTTCCTTGGCTTCTTTATGCACATTAATACAATTTTTTAGCTGGGGTGCCCAAAACTTTCGATCCCCACTGTATGCTGCTGTATATTACATTTATATTTTTAGTTTGGTTACCCTGTAATACCTGATGGACACAGCTCTAATTTTACTTATTTTTTCTAGGTATGCCGTAGGAATTGCTTACAAGTCCGCACCAAAGAATGAATGGATTGGAAAGAACACTTCATCCTGGGTATTCACCCGATGTAATAACAATTTTCTCGTTAGGCACAACAACAAGGAAGTTCTATTGGACGTCCATCCCCAGCTGAAACGGTTGGGTGTCCTTCTAGACTATGACAATAACACCTTTTCCTTCTACGATCCTGCTAACTCCCTTCACTTGCACACTTATGAAATCCCATTCATACTGCCCGTATGTCCTACTTTTACCATATGGAACAAGTCTCTATTGATCCTCTCAGGGCTTCCTGCTCCGGATTTCATGGACACGTTTCTTCCTCAACAAGAGTGTATCTGCAGACCTCAAGAATCACCATACGTATCTGGACTCAAACCGTGCCAGTGAACACTACTGCTGTCCTCTGTATTATATACTTTTATTAGGGAATAGGACATATTATTGCCTGCTTTAAAAGGTCAGTCAAAGAAAAAAAGAAACTCGAAGAACCTTCCCAGTTCCTGACCTGGTTTCTGTACATAACCCCGGATTTGACGTTCAGGAAGATCAATAGCTTAGCTAGCTTTATTCAATTAATAGCTTTTTTTAAATGCATTTTTTCTTCAATTTATGTTCTGCTGTTGTAAAATACATATTTTTCATTTGTTTGAAAGACTATGTAAGCCTTTCCCTATATCTAAGGGGGGTATTGTACATTTGTTTAGGAAGAAGACATACGTTACTTTATATACACTATAGGGAGGAAAGTTTTCGGGACAACTGACCATCACACTTGTTGGACATTGCATTTCAAAGCTAAGGGCACGAATATGCAGTTGCCCTTCTGTAATGGCTTTGACAGCCTCCACTCTTCTAAAAAGCCTTTCCACAAGAATACATATTTTTTCATTTGTTTGAAAGACTATGTAAGCCCTTTCCCTATATCTAAGGGGGGTATTGTACATTTGTTTAGAAAGAAGACATACGTTACTTTATATACACTATAGGGAGGAAAGTTTTCAGGACAAAACTGACCATCACACTTGTTGGACATTGCATTTCAAAGCTAAGGGCACGAATATGCAGTTGCCCTTCTGTAATGGCTTTGACAGCCTCCACTC